CAGTCACTGCAGTAGGCGTTCACCAAGCAAGCACCGGGGCCGAATACTCGGACGAATAATTCGGATGAATTATTGGGACGAGGCAGACTGGATAGTGAAGGTCACAGGGTGGCAAAGCACCGGTGGCCAGAGCGGCAGGAGGGAGCAGGAGAGGCGGCTCGCGAAGAAGGAAGATAGGCAAATGCTGCAGTGACTGCGATGACGAGCGAACGGGCGATGAGAGGTTAAGGGTCGCATGCAGGGCCGCATGCGTTGGGCTCCATTTCCTCTCCGTGACCGCCACGACTCCAGGACCGGTCCCGATAGTTTGGACTGAGCGCTTACACCAGACACTTGACACCAGGCTGGCGCTTCAAAGGACGTCGATGACTGTCATTCGACTCTTTCGCGATGCATGCTGTCGAGCGGTGTCCGTTTTCCTCACGGTCGCCAGCAGTCAGGCTTCAAAGAGGCCCGCCAGGCGGACGACGACAGGATCGGAAATGCTTGGCCGCTGAAACCGAGAGTGTTTCACCAGCAGTGGCATGGCACCTTTTACCACGCTGGCCACGGGCTGATGTGGGTGGCAGCGAATGAAAGACACGAGGCCGAGTTGCTGGGCTTGTGGTCTCTGGTCGTCTTTGGTCCCCGGTTCTTCCCAGCCTTCTTCGCCCTTCTCCTCTCCATTGCAGAGTCACATCGTGGCTGGGCCCCCTGGATCTATCCCTGCGAGCACGAGCCATCCGTCAACGCCGTCCTGGATCCGGTGTAGCGTGTTCGATGGCCTGTCCCTGTCGGCCGCCCTCCGCATGGTGCCAGCGAGATCTCACTGGGTGGTTGGCAGTGGACGGAGCGGAATGCACTTGGCATCATGTGAAGAGGCATTTGAACGACGACCAATGGTTCACAGACTTAGAAGTAACGTGAACAGTGCAGCGCAGCGCAGCGCAGCGCAGGGCGACGAACGAACGGCTCCCTGTTGCCGTGGCGTGCGTTCAGCTCTTCACCTCGCCACACGACTGCTCGTACCTGGTTGCGCATTACTCAGACGACGCAAGGCTGCTCCATACTTAGCACACGAGCATCGTATTCCGCATCAATGATCGACTTTATGCTGCCTGGCAGTGCCAGCGACTTGTGGGGAGGGATCCACAGCGAAAAAGATCCGAAGGGTGAGTGACATCGGCCACGTTGGCGACCTCCAGAAGCCAAGCCAGACTTCACCGCATTCCACCCACTCGCAGCCGAGGGCACACAGCCCCCAGAAATAGGCCAGCGCATTTCTGTGCAGTGCTCGCTACGGAGGCTCAGGAATGCGTATGTGCAAAATGTTTATCGGACTGCCTGCCTGCCGTGGCCCGTGGGAGCTTGTGGAGCAGATCAGCTGGTGCACACAACATGGGACGACTCGGTCTTGTGCGTCCTGAGCGTCCATGGCCGGCGGCAGGGCCGCTTCTGTGACTCGCGTGTTCGCTGGGCCGCCAGAGCGCGCGTGTGTGGCTGTCAGCAGGATGTCCGTCTCCCGTTTGAAGGTGCGCATCCTGATCGCCATGGTAGGCTGGCGAGCTATCGGCCGACCGACCAAAAAAGACCGACTGGCTTTCCCGTGCCGCCCGCGCTCTAGTCTGACTTGTTCGTCACTGGCTGGGAGACTTGGTCGACCAGTCTATTGTCTTGAACGACGCGACCATACGTTTCGTCACGACTCTTGTTACCTTGAAACAAACAGAAGCAAAGAAGGGGAAGTTCGCCAGCCATGGCAGCCACAGCCGTCCGGGGCAGAGGAACCATTCTGCTGTAACGCTGCACGCCTTGTTTCCTTCTCGGCCACTCTTCTGCTGCCCCTGCCACCAGCTCGCTACAAGGCAACGTCACACGGCAAGCTGGGGGCCCGGGGCTGTTCGTCCATCCTCTTCTTCGGCGGTCCTTCCTTGCCTCCGTGCTCTTCCAGGCCTTTCCGGGTAGGGAATGTCGAATGATCATGGCCTCTGCAGAGACGACAGCGCAGGGGAGGCCGGGAGGGACAACCTAGATGCAAAAAAGACATCAGGGGTCGAGCCGCAGGGGCCAGGGGCTGGATGACAGGGGGAGGAGGGTTGGACTCTGGGCCCCAGATCCACCCAGTTGGCGTCCACACTGACGTCTCTTTTGGTGTTTTTGTGCCAGGGGCTGGCGTCGCATCTGACTGGCCACGAGGGCGGCCTTGGGTCACAAGCTGCGGCCTCCAATGGCTCCAAGGACACGGTTCGACGAGACCTGATTGGAGACCGCCTGCGGCCGCCTCGTGAGACCACTACCAATCCCCGCCTCAGGAAGCACCATCGTCTCGACACGACGACATGTTGCTCTGGATTATGGACAACGATGGCTGTTGTGGCCGGGCGCCTGGGCATCCCCATCGTGATGCGATGGACGTGTATGAGGGACTTGTTGTGCGCGAAAAGTCGGCAAGCGAAGCAGATCGACAGGCTAGGACAAGCACACACGATGGGGGTAGGGGAACGATGGCACCTGCACAGCACCTTTGCTCTCACGCTCCCTCCCTCCAGAGGCATGCCGCAGCTAGGCACTGCAAGTGTCCCCTCGACGATGCGATTCCCCCACCCCCGTTGAAGCGTCGTATCACACTGGTGTGCCTTGCAGTAGCCTGTCTGCCATCACCACCACCTGGACCTGGCCCGCTCCGCTGCCCCTTTTTGCTCATTCGCATGCCGGGCTGCGGCTTGCGGGGTTGATCCCAGGTATTGCCACCAGCACGAAAAAAATTCCACAGTCTGTGCATTTCATTCCCAGCTCCCCTTGCTCACCTCACCTCAGCCTCCCTGCTGCGCGTGTTCTCGTCAATCCGAGTCAGGGGCGGGGGGCCTTCTAGCCATCCGTCCCGCGCTGGAGATCGCCACGACCCTCCACTTTTCGGTCCCTGGCTAGTAGCTGGGCGAAACAGCCCGAGGAGGGAGGCATCGCAAGGCACCGTCCTATCACAGCATGCAGTCGGCCATGCCACCATCACCGGCCGGACCCCCCGTACCCCCTGGGTCGATCCATCATGCCTCGAAATCCCATGTCCAGATGCCAAAGTCTTGGCCTGACTGGCCCGTCCTCCTCGCTCGCCTGTCTTGGGCCGCCGCCTAGCAGCGACGCCATGTCTCCCGACCACTCCAAAGTGGGACCTTCTTGATCCAGTCCTCCGCCGACCTGCGAAGGGAACACACTCCCCCTTCCCGCGTCCAACCCTGGATCCATCGACCACCAATCATTCCGGGATCGATGTCCGTTCCCGCGTCTGTTCCTGACCCTGTTTGCCCTCTCCTTCCACTTGCGCCTCTAGCGTCGTGATCCGTACGCCTACGCCGGCATTCGTGCCCGCTGGCCGTCATGGTTGGTCCTTGGGGGGCCTGGCCTTGCAGGCCTCGCAGACCACCTCCTCCTGGAGCACTGACGTCCCCTCCGTTCCTCACGTCCCTGAGTTCCTCTCCTTGTCTTATAAAGTACCCCCTCCATCCCGACATCTACCAACACCCTTCTTTCGTTCATCACGTCTTTCACATTCCTTTCGTGGGCTTCAGATCAGAGCAGCTGTGTCGTTTCGACCTTCTCATTTTTTCACTCCTTCACACGAGGCTAGCCCTTGTCCAAACTTGCTTATCTATCCAAACACGCCTGGCGCATTACCATCCTTTCACAGCAACCAAGTTTCATCAACTCGACGAACAGTCTACACCTGTCTACCAGCTTCCACAGCTTCAGCAATCAAACATAGCAGACATCTCTTGACTAGCTCGCCGGTTTACCACAATCTCTTCGGATATCAAACGACACTGCACTAGAGACATCTACGTCCGGAACGTTCAGAAACACTCTACCGCAGCTTTCACAGCAACTCGTACGATCACTCACGCAACCCACACTCAAAAAATCTCTTACGCAACTCACGAAATCAAAATGTACGCAAAGACTCTTGTTTTCGGCGGCCTGGTCGGTCTGGCCAGCGCCCACATGAAGATGAGCTCCCCCGTCCCCTACGGCGCTGCCAGCCTCGACAACAGCCCCCTCGAGGCCGACGGATCCAACTTCCCCTGCAAGAACAGCGCCTACAGCGCTGACGGCGCCTCCAACGTCTACGCCCTCGGCTCCAGCGGCAACCCCTTGGCCTTCGTTGGCTCTGCCGTCCACGGTGGTGGCTCGTGCCAAATCTCCATCACCTACGACGCCCAGCCGAACAAGAACTCCGTCTGGAAGGTCATCAAGTCTATCGAGGGTGGCTGCCCTGCCCAGGACACCCCTGGCAACCTGCCCGAGAACGCCAACCTCGAGACCCCGTTCAAGTACTCCTTTGACATCCCCAGCGACATCCCCGCCGGCAACGGCACCATTGCCTGGACCTGGTTCAACAAGGTCGGCAACCGTGAGATGTACATGAACTGCGGTCCCGTCACTCTCACCGGCACCGGCGGCTCCGAGTCGGCTTACAACGCGCTTCCTGACATGTTCACCGCTAACATCGGCAACGGATGCGGAACCCCTGCCGACACCGACCTCCAGTTCCCTAACCCTGGCCAAGTTGTCGAGAAGTTGAACGGCGCTACTTCTGTCTTCGCTGCGCCCACTGGAGCTAGCTGCCAGGCTGGCAGTGGTGGCAACGGAGGCGGCAACGGAGGCAGCGAGCCTGCCCCCACCACTGCCCCTCCTACCACTGAGGCTCCCACCCCGACTGGCGGAGCCGGCGGAGCCGCGCCTTCTCTCCCCGGCGGTGTTTTCATCCCCGTCCCCGACACTCAGGCCCCTGCTCCCACTGAGGCGCCTTCATTCGAGCCTGCTCCTGAGCAGCCTTCCACGGAGGAGCCTGCGCCTGCTCCTCAGCCCGAGACTCCCGAGGTCACCGAGCCTACTCCCCAGCCTGAGACTCCCGTCATCACTGACCCCATCTCCGAGGCTCCTGTCCAGGACACTCCTGAGACTGAGGCTCCTGTTCCTCCCACCGACAACAACACTGCCACCACGCCTGGCTCTGCTTGTGCCAACGAGGGCGAGTGGAACTGCGTCGGTGGCACCTCCTTCCAGCGCTGTGCCAGCGGAGCTTGGTCCGTCGTCATGCAGCTTGCTGCTGGCACTAGTTGTGAGGCTGGCCAGAGCGCCAACATCAACATGATTGTGACCCGCAACGGCAGGAAGCGCGTAATCCGCAGCATTTCTGCCTAAAGAGACGGCGATCTTTCGATCTTGTTCTCTTCAAACAAAGTGTGATACCCGTAGGGAACATGATGGGCCATCTGGGACTTGGGGGCGGTATTATGGATAAGGTTACGGGTACCAAACGGGTGGGGGCAGGTTCACGGGGTGTTTGGGTCATTTTTATCATTGAGGAGTCATGGCATGGTCCAGTGGCATCTTCCTTCCGCATTTTTTCTTGTACATAGAAACATTATCTTATGCATGTCACCGATTGGTGAACGGGCAACGTGTACGGTTAGATCAGAGCATCCTTACAGGAGCATCTTGAGTATCAACAAAACACATTCCAGATGTACTCTGAGAACTCAAACACCTTTTGTGTCGCGACCGCGCTGCAATTTGACGTCGCGGAATGTAGGCACTCTCATCAGTTCACAGAGCCGCAAACCAGACAAATTTCGACAACGGAGTGTCTCGAACACAGTCTTTCATCTGATATCAGCCGGTACATATCGTTTCCGACTGCCTTGCAGAGAGTATGAACTTTGATGCAAAAGATTATCGGCGTTTGTAGTATCCACTGCCAACGCTCATGTAGGCACTGCTCATCACAGCCACGTATCGCCAGCCCCGTGTTCTCCTATGTGGCGTTTTCTCAGTCTCCCCAACCAGCTTCGCCTAGGATTGGTGTTGCCTTTCCTCAACGATTCAAGCTGTATCGGCACCACCGATGGGTCCGCATCGATGCCCACGTGCGCCCTCCCGTCAACGCCGATGTACCTCCCGAAACTAAACGTGGGAGACTCGTACTGCTTGGGGCTGCACTCCCTTACGGCCGTGCTGGCCGCCACGTAGGCCAGCACGGAGGCGATGTTTGTCGGCATCCGTGGCAAGAAGAAGACGATGGACCAGCCGTAGAGCACGGCGGCGACGACGAGGCTGAGGCTGAGGATGGTCGTACTGACGATGAAGGCAGGTTCGGACATAAAGATGCGCGTCTCACGGGCCCATCGCTGGCCTTCAAAGGCCGGCTCGGCAGAGGTATCATTATCAAAGATGAAGGAGTTGAGGCCGAGGAACAGGGCGAAGAGACGTGTGTACATCGGGCCCACGTGATTGAGCATGGTTTCCGGGCTCGGCAGGGGCTGGAGGGGGTCGACAAAATCGGAACTGTTCGTTTCCAGCCTGATGAGTTCGCTCATCCAGTCGCGGGTGAAGGTGTGGTTATGCCAGCGCCCCTCGGCTTTAGCGATGATGTTGTTCGAAACAATGATAAGGTTGTCTGTCTGGTTAGTGAAGCCAGGGTAACCGAGGCCGTACTCCATCTCGCTGGCCTTTTCGTATTCGAGGACGTGACCTTCGGTGTTGATCGTGACGTCAAACAAGGCAGTGCGGAAGCGAGGATAACAGAGCACGAAGCCAGACTCCACGGTGCCATTGGCGTCGCTGCCGTTCGATGTTCGACCCCAGCCCATGATGAACGTCTTTGCGCATGGTTCGGCCAGCCTGCCAGATAGAAATGTGTCTGGGGATTCGACGGAAGACGGGCCCTGCGGTGGTGCTGTAGATTCGTTCAAGCGAAGGTATTCTGGTTGATAGACATCGGTGCATCCGAGAGACTTCGCTATAGAGTGCTTGTCCTTGAAGTCGGTTAAATCCACTGAGGGTGGTTGCGTGTTCGATGTAGCCGTCTCGCATTGGGGATCAATACCATATCCACGTGTCCGCCCCCGAAGAATTTCGGTTGTGTTTTTACCGCCAGCCTGGTATGCGGAGAATGGCTGGAAGAAGTACTCTGTCGAGGTCCAAGGCGGGAGTGTTGTGTTCAAAGTGATGTTGGCTGAAGTGACGTAGAAGTGCTCCTCATACGGATAGGGCATCCTGAGCATGTTGGCGAAAGTAGTGAGGGAGCCATTACTTAGTCGTGGTGCCGCATCGTGTTTGAATTGAATCGAGTATTCAGAACGCGTGGGACCTTCGTTAAACAGACCACCAAGGCCAACGGCCAGAACATCGCAAAGAAGCGCCATGATACAAACTATGGCCAGCATATAGTGTCGTGCCCGCAGTGCGCGCCAGACCACGAGTTGCGGCGGAATCGAGGTGTAGGTTGCGTCGACCGATCCTCTACTTGTGCTTCGACCTTCGAAAAGGTCCTTGAACGGTTGGAGGACGCAAAGAAGGCGGTTTACCAGCACCCAGAATGGCTCTATCAGAGTCGCAAGCACTGTTGGAATGAAACTTTGTAAAATCAGTAGAACCTCAAAGCTTTCAGAGGGACGGATGAGACCTGGTGATTGACTGCTGTTAGCAGACAAAATGGATATGGAAGGAGGGTAACAGACCACCAAGAGCTTCTTCCTTTACTTTCAAGTATGTAAGCCCAGCTAGCATTGCCAGTAAAGCCATGATAAAAGCAATGCCACTGCATGTTCGAAGAGCTAGCGGCTCAACAGGTTCGTAATGACCTGCAGAAGGCCGGAAGAGCGACAGGATCCTGTCAGGCCGATCTCCTGACCCCAAGACCTTGAGTTCTGTGGCACCAGATGCAGAATCACACCCGCAGCATAATCTGAACCTTTCGTCCTCGAACTCATTACGAAGCTTCTCTTCAGGCGTAGATCCCTGCCCAGAGAACTCATTAAGCAGCTCTGGGCTCTTCCGGATAACCTGAATCAGTGCGCTGACAGATCCTGGTTCTCCCAGTAGCTTACTCTCCTTGGCTTGAATACACCAGAGGAGTGCCAGCGACATGGCACCAACAAGCAGGAGCAGAGTCTCGACGACAATGGATATCGGTCTACTGACGATGAACCCATGCATAAAATATGTCGCCGCGCCATTCGTGGGAGCTACATCATCCGCATCTGCCAGGACCTTGTTGACAGCCAGATGAAAGAGCATCTTTTGTGGCGCCACGAATGCTTGCCCTAGCGCGGTATGGTTGCCATAATCTTTGGCCGGTTTGCTAGGGTCCGATCCAACTGCAAAGCCAACCATGGGAGACGCAGGCAAAGAAAAGCCGGTGTCATAAAGGCGGGTGTACTGCTCCAGGAAATGGTGAGCATACCAATCCCGATCCGTCGCGACAGCTGACACTCCGCTGCCGAGGAGATAATGGAGGCCCGTATGGTTGAACTCTGTGTCCAAAAGTGTTTCGCGAGGGCCAAGAGGAATGATGCTGTCCTCAATCGGAATAGATCTAGGTCCTGAGACGGTGGCAGATACCTTTTGCTTGTAGTACGTCGCCTCGCAAAACACCGCCGTTACGTTGGTCTTGCCCACCTCGACAAAAGCACTCCAAATAGCCAAAAACTGGTTTGACGTATTGCGGGAACAAGTTGGGCCAGCTAGGAAATAATCTGCATGAGCATCGTTGTGATACCCAATGTAAAGCAACCTAAAAGGATATTTGCCTGCGTGTGAGTTGTATGGGACTATCGTACTGGCATTACAGCCTCGCCCGTTATTGAAGTGATAGGCGCCATAGATTGGGCTATCGCTGATAGCCGCGGGCCAACACTCAAGTTCGGTGGTCAGTTTCGTGGTCGTGCCTGTCCAGTTCGCCGCCGGCCCACCAGTGTCGGGAGACTGGGATGCTTTGAAGGGCAACAGAGTATAATCGGGTGTTGTAAAAGGCAGAAGTGGCTGGCCAAGCCATGTTGTCGCAAACCCGACGTTCATGATGGACTGGTCGAGCAAAACGGATTGGTTACTTGCAGGCAGAAACGACGAGGTTATGGCCCACTGGAAGCTGCTTTTTGACAACCACTAGCCCTGATCCGATGACGGAACTTTGAAGAGGTGTGATGAGCCAGAAGATAATTATCATGCTGATGCCAGTAAGAAACGTCGGCCAGTGACTTCAAGTTCAGGTCAGCTTCTAGGCAGATTGCCACCATGATGTCCCGAGCTTGGCCCCGTACAAGCCGGGTCTGGAGACATAGATGCCGAGGCAAAGGAATCTACTGACCGGCGTTTAGCAGCGCTGAATGGAACGAAGCCAATGAAGTTGTAAGGATATTCCGAGAAGAGTGAATCTTTTCCGGTAGCGCCGTTTGTCGCAGACAACTCGAGCCAGGGTTGGATCCGTTTGACATCCAGGTCAACCCAACTCCATATCATACTGTAAAACACAGCAACTATTGTAGGTAGAAAGAGGTAGGCGAAATTGGTTGCAGCAGTGTTGTCTTCCGGCTGGTGGACAAGGGCTAAGCCGCCCTCGCGGTTGCTTTGTACTGCGAGTAGCTCCGTGCCGATTGCAATGAGTGCAGAGATGATGGTAAAGGGCAGAAGAGTCTGTGCTCGCATTGACATGGGTTTCCAGCCATGCTTATGCTCTAGGACAATTAGTCTTCTTGTGATACTAATAGTAATTCGGATCGAACCTCATACCACCGACCAGGCTGCACTCGCTGTCCGTCTTCTCTAGTGTCCATGGGAAACTCGACTTTCGAGACTCTGTTCGTCCTGAAGGTGTCGTCTCCTCCGCCGGGGAGGTATTCCGTGAGTCTTTGTCATACGAAGAGACCTCTGTCAGCGCGACCACAGGCCTCTTGCTCGTCCAGAACATGGCGAGGTGCAACAAAATAACCACCAGAAGAGTAAACTCTGGCAGCTATAAAGAAAGAGGAAACGGCCCTAGGGCTAGACGAGCAAGGAAGAAAGAGGACGAAAGCCCAGAGACGAGCGGCCCGTCCCACGCGGGAACGCTGCCGCGTCTTATGGCACTAAGAGAGCCGCCCATGGAGAGGAGGCGGTCCCGGTGGAACGGTCGACCAAGATGAACTCGTAGTGTGCCTCCATGTCGCCGGCCTGTGATTCGCCGGTGACAAGCTGCGGTTGGTACGAGGTTATGCAAGGCACAGCAGCTGTGCCTGTCAAAGCGGGGACTGAAACGCGCGGAAGCTGGATGAGGTCGCTTGAATGGTCATCGCGATGGGCAGTGATGAATGGGAGCGTGCTATTAAGCGCCGACAACCGGGAGCTTGGGGGCGGATAGGCGGGGGCCCCCCACACAAGCGCGAAGAGGTCTCGCTCGTCAATAGCAGAGTACGGTCGATTATGATAACCGCATAACGGATGTTGGTTTCTGCACGATATCTCGGCAATTGAGCATATTGGCGTACTTGGGTGCTAGCACAGGGAGAGAGGAATGCTGAAGGGGGATGAGGCTTGGCTGGTGCACTATGTGGCGTTGGACTTCTTAGCTCAGCAACGCAGCCTGCGACGACAACGTATGGGACCTCCTCTCATTGATCATCCGAGGGTACTGCTGAGAGTGGTGAAGGTGCTATTGCATGACAACCTGCGGATAGGCACGATTGCTCTCAGTCGAATTCCATTTCACGATAGTGCATCAGGTGCAACATTTGAAATGCTTTGGATATGGCCAAGCCGCCTCCGATGGCTGCTTCGAATATGTCCGTCTCCAAAGGCGAGCCGGGATTGCTGCATTCGGTCGCTGCACACGCTAATCTTGGGGGTGTGAATCAGTACGTCCTACAGTGTTGGACGCCGAGGGACCCGAGTCAGTGCATCAGTACGTCTGCTGGCGAAAGGTCGGGCCAACACGCTCAGTCCCGTTGGTGACGAGGCCCCAAATTCCGACCTTCCAGATGTGCAGTGTATTGGTCGCATGACTTCCACATGGTTGCATCGAGAGATGACCAGTGATCGGTCGCCGACCCACTTACACTTAACCTTATCGGAGAGCAGATGCTCGCTATATAGAGAGAGGTATGCTGTGCAGACCGTGTCCAGAATTCGTCCATTGAGGCTGCTGTTGCTTGGGTGGCCATCATTCAGGTATACCAAGTGATGACAAGCGCTGAGCACGGGGAAGCGAAAGGGTCCAAGCCGCCAAGCACCGGAGTCAGTTGCTGGTAGCGTCGTACGTGTCGTGAAGAGTGGAGGTTCTGACGAATTTCCAAACGGGAATGTCGCCATGGCCGCTCCACGCTCCATGGATGGCCGATAGTGGCGTTGAATTCGGCGATTTGTAATCCGATGTCGTTGCAGGCATCCTTCCCAACTGCCCTGACGAGAGCTGCTGAGGTCAAGCCCGTCTCCCCAGATCTATTTTGTACTTTCTCATCTTGTTGACTATTGTCCGACGACCTGTCCAAGATTGGCCACGTGGGATTTCGCCGTCCGACCGTTCTGCCTTCCACACCGATCACTGAAAGCAGTCTGTCTCAGCCCCGAGTGAGACTTGCACGGACCCGACATGGAGACCCCGTTGACCACTCGGCCGAAGCCGCCGCCTCTGGACTTGAGCCACCACTACTCGACCATCACCAATCTGCGGGAGCCCAGCGCCATTAAGAAGTACTACAAGTACTTTCAGATTCCAGGATTGGGCAACCTAGCGGGAGGTGAGTCTGATAAAGCTCGACGTTGATGCGTCTCCAATCGTCCTACCCGAGCAACAACTATACTGTCACACTGCATACGCCATCTCCAGCCCATCCATGATTCGATCGCAAAGGCTGTCTCCATTCCCTCGCCTCCACAATCCAGCGGCATAAAGGGTGCCAATTGCTGATTCAGTCTTCCAGGTCTCCCGAACGCCCAATTCTTCCCCTTCGACACACTCGAAGCGCAAGCCGCCAAACCTGAACGATGGACACCCTCGCCCAACGAGCCCCCAAACCCGGAGGCCCTCGCCGACCGGCTGGCTGTGTCTGGCCTGTCGTCGGCTCCGAATGGTGTAGCTAAGAACAAGCATGCCGACACATGCAAGACGAAGGCGACCAAGCACAAAGACGACGGGCCTCAAAACGCACAGCATCTTACTGTGCCCATGAGCGATCCCCAAACAGATCCCTTCAGGAAGATTGACGTCACCACGGCTCTCCAGTACGGAACCGCAGAAGGCTACGCACCGCTCCTGGCCTACATACGCCACTTTGCCCGCACAAACCTTCACCCCAATGTCCCCTATGCAAAGGGCCCCGAGGTCATCCTCACCTGCGGTTCGACAGACGGCATGGCCAAGTCACTCGAGCTCCTCGTGACCCCGTGGGATGCCCGTCATGATTCCCCACGCGACCGCCCCCACCTCCTTGTTGAGAAGTTCCTCTACTCCAACGTCCTCGCGCAGAGCATGCCCCGTGGCGTGCGGCCTGTGCCCGTCGAGATCGACGCCGAGGGCATGCGTGCCGACGGACCTGGCGGGCTTGAGGAAGTCCTCAGTGGGTGGAACGATCTTGACGGCAAGAGGCCTCGCATCATGTACACCGTCACCATGGGCCACAACCCAACGAGCGGCGTCCTGTCTGTCGAGAGGCGCAAGGCCATCTATGCGCTGTGCCAGAAGTACGATGTCATCATCGTCGAGGACGACCCGTACTGGTATCTTCAGTACCCGTCCGCTGCGGCCGAGGAGGCCGCCTCGCGAGGCAAGCCTGTGCCGCCGCCCAAGCCGACACCGAAGCCGGTCAATTCGTCTGGCTACGAGTTTCTCGATTCCCTGGTGCCGTCTTACCTCAGCATTGATGTTGACGGCAGAGTCATTCGACTCGACACCTTTTCCAAGACGATCGCCCCCGGCTGCCGCCTCGGCTGGATAACCGCACAACCTGAGTTCATCGAGCGCTTCACAAGGTAAGCCCATTCTACCTCCCATTGTTTCCCCCCCCCCCATAGAGCACCAACCTGACATCAACGACGCAGAATCACCGAAACGACCACCCAGCAGCCCTTCGGGCTTTCGTGCAAGGCCTGGTCTCGGAGCTTCATCATCGGCTCTCCAGCCCGGACGCGCAAGGCCGCGTACGCCGCCCTGCCGGCGGCTCAGCGCCTCGCCTTTTGCGGCTGGGACACGTCGGGCTGGGTGCGCTGGCTCGCGGCCTCCGGGCCAGTACGAGCGGGGCATGTGCGCATGGCGCGAATCCTCGAAGCGGGCGACCACCAGCTCAAGCAGTCGACGCCGACGCGCGACGACCTCGCCGACTGGGGCGTCGTCACCAAGACGCGCCTCTATGACTTTGACTGGGCCCGCGGCGGCATGTTCCTCTGGCTGCGGCTGCGGTTCGAGACGCACCCGCTGTGGCAGGCCCGGGGCCGCGGCACTGCCGACGGCGGCCTCGACGTCGTCGACGGCGCCGTGCTGAGCCATGCTCTCCTGGCGCTCGGCACGCGGCGGCCGCACCTCGTCATCCCGGCGCCGGGCCTCATGTTTGCTGCCGACGAGAGGATCAGGTCCGAGAGCGCGTGGGCGTACTTCAGGCTCTGCTTTGCGGCTGTGGCGGAGGAGGAGATTGAGCCCTGCTCGGAGCGCTTCGTTGGCACTGTGCACAAGTTCTGGCGGATCAAGAGCGTGCGCGAGATTGAGGAGCTCTTGGATGAGTTCAATGGCGCCGAGGCGCTTGGGGACGAGGGCATGGGCAATTTGATGGGCATGGGCATGGGATGCTGAGTGCGGCTCACGATGGAGCCTTCACAGTGGTAGAATCATACCTAGTCTACGAGACACGACAATTATGACAGACAGACTACAAACATGCCGAGACCTGTTGAGGTGAGACGTGCGAAACTACGATTTTTTTCCTGTCAGCAAAATGCACATGTACATCACAGGGGGTAGCGGAAGACGTTGGTGTAGAGTCATAATGGGAATCTTCTTTCATTGATGAAGAGGTCAACATTCCTAGTTGCCATTACGCCCCGAGTAGAAACCATGCATGCCAGAGCCAAACTCTCGTCCCTTTTCCCGACGTCGTACGCAGATACCGAAACCGAAACCACTCCTCTTTGCGAGGGCGGTCTTAGTTCTTCTTCTGGGCAGCCTCCTTGGCGAACACTGCGGCGTAGGGGTTGAGGCGGAGCATGACCTGCTTGTTGCGCAGAGGGTTCTTCTTCTGCACGGCGGAGCGGCGGGTGGTGGGGCCACCCTTGGCCTCGCGGATGGCCGACTGGGTCTCCTGGGAGTTGATGAGACGGCTGAGGTCAGACTGGGAGATGATGTTGGAGGGCAGGAGGAAGTCCTTCTTGAGCTCGGAGGGGGTGGTGGTGGTGCCGTAGATGGTGTCGAGGGCCTTGAAGGCGGCCGAGGTCCAGACGATGAAGCGGCCGAGGTGACCACCGGGGGCGAGCTGGAGGAGGTTGAGGTCGGTGACGGCGGAGGTCTCGACACCGGCAATGTTGCGGAATCCAGAGATGAGCTCCTTGCCGTCAACCTCGGGGTCGTAGACGACCAGGGGGCCGCGGCGCTGGCGGAAACGACGACCACGCATCTTACCCTTACCGGCACGGAGCTTCTTGGACTTCTTGACCTTGTCGAGGTCAGGGCCGGCACCGACGGACTTCAGGAGACCGGCGGCGGCAGAGGTCTTGGCGAAAGCGGCGCTCTTGAAGGCATCAGAGTCGATGACGAGGGGAACCTCGACGACGTTGGAGATACGGTGGCCACGGGCGAGCAGGAGGGGAGCGACGGCAGAGGCAGCCAGGGCAGAGGCAACAGCGTAGCGCCTGAGGTTTGGTCAGTATTTTTCTTCCTCTTCGAATTCTGGTGCAGGAGAGCGGGAAAAAAACATACTTCTGGCCCAGGTTGACCTTGACGTGCCACTTGCGCCAGACCTTGGTAGGGGCGAACATGCGACCGGAACGGCACATGTTACCGAAGGCAGCCTGACCGGCACGGTGGGTACCACCACCAGAGACACGGGGAATACGGGCGACGGCACGACCTGTGGTGTTTTTGTCAGTACAAAAAGTCCAACGGTACGAGATGTTCCCCAAGAGGCAGCCGACGTCGAGCCTGCGCACGCCCGGAATTTCTCTTCCCGCGGCAGTTCCCACTCTTGCCGTGCGCAGTACCGTCGAGCAGTTCGGCTTCCTTCCTTCATCCTTCTCATGGGATCTCCAGGTGACGACTAACCAGTTCCCCAAGACTCGGCGGAAGTCTGTTCACCGGCCTTCTCGCTCACGGCGTAAGGCTGGCGCTTGTTCTTGGCCAGACCCTTGTGCACATCCTGGACGATATCGGTACGGATCGGGCTGGAGAAGACGACGGGCCAGGTGTGGGTGTTGCCGGTGGCCTTGCCATCGCCGCCGATGATGGTGACAGTAGGTCGCGAAGCCATTGTGAATTGGTGATCGACCCTGCAGAGGAAAATGTCAAATTAGTTGTCTGGTTGACAGTCGAGCTGAGGTTCAGCTGCGAGAGGAAAAATTGAGGCTGCAAATTTTCGTACCTGGGTCTGGGTGGACTTCGTGCTGTTGGTTAGTGACGGGAGTGAAGGTTGCGACTCGGAGGGCTCACGAGAGAAATTCACCAGATTATTTTCTCACAGTCGCGGTGCCCAGTTTGGTGGGCAGACCCTAAGCGGTACGTACCCACATTTGGCGAGTGGTGGGGTACACAGTCACGTGAGCTACCGCGAAAATCGCCGCTCGGCCGCTTGGCCGCTTCCAACTAGGTAAGTAGGTGCCTCAATTGTGCACTGTGCAACTAAATCCACATCGCCGCTGTCACCATCTGCCCAATGATTTCCGGTACTTGCATATTGCTGTTTCAGCGCTATTCACCACCCAGTCTCCCAGTGCTGTCCATTAATCTGCAGCACACAATGCTGGAGCGAACTGTCTCTCGACTGTGTCTTGACAATGTGAATATTACTCCAACGTAGGAAAACAGACACGCCAACAATCGTCAGTGTTTCTCATCCTATCATATCTATCTGGTATTCTTTCTGATTTCATTATTCATATGATTGCTTCGTCGAATCTTCCATGGCCATGATCATTCCCACTTCTTCCACGTGCTGATGAGCTTTTCCATCTCCTTCTCCGTCCACTCATCCTGTCCCCGACGCTTGTCCAGGCGGGCCAGCTCGGCGTGAATGCTCGCCTCAATTTTCTGTCTCTCCAACACCTTATCCTCCAGATACTTGACATCGTTGCGCCGACATGCTTTTCTAAACACCTCACGCATGCGCTCAGAGTAGAGTTGGCAAGTCGCGATGCTCAGTTGCTTCGGCCGCATGGAAAAGTTTCGGGCAACCTGACCGTCTTGGAGAATCCGGGGTTTCACAACGTCATCGTAGCAGTCGCCGCAGACCGCCAGTTCTGGTAAGTGCTGCATGACATACCAATTTTCCCCCGCCACAGGGCGATCCTCGCGACACTCCGTGAACATGGAGATGCGATCAATCGTCTTGGCAAGGCTTGGAATATTCGGTGCCGAGGTCGCCGCGATAGCCTGGTCGCACGTTGTTTCCATGGCGTCGAAATAAAGCACGAATCGCTTGCGATCGGGATGGTAACGCATGGCACAAATATTATTCGAAGGCAACGCCATTGCCTGAGTTTGTATGAAACACCCTGTAAGACTGGGCAGGAGGACTTCGATTGTTTTGGCGCATTCATAACAGACGTTGAAATCGGGCAAAGTGCCATCCCGGTTTGGGTTCTGGATGGAGTACCAAGACCGCAGCACAACGCGGTCCCCTGGACACGGCTGGTTCTTCGCAATCTTCGCAATCTGGTGGAAAAGTCGCAAATCGGGCTGGTTGTATTTGAGCGTTAATAACCAGGCGATGCGATACCACGGCGACGTCCCAAAGTCACAACTGATGGGCTTGTCGATAGACCTGAACAGGTTGGCCTTGAATTCGCTGCGAAATGACGACTTTCCGAAGACGCCCGAGCAACAATCAGGGCAGATGTTGAAGTTGTCGCAGTGAGGTAAGCAGAGCCAATCTATTTTGCCAGCCACGCCTTTGGTCCTGGGGCAGTCCGGAATTTGAACAGGGCCATCTCGCCCTGCATCTTCTGAATAGCGACGGTAGGCACCCACCGGCCGGTCGACGGTCAGGCTGTTCTTGGAGGGGTCGAAAGGAGCGGGCGGCCATGCTTGATCCTGACGCAGATCGAACTGTAATGTCGACGCTCGAGCTTCCGGTGTCACTGGCCTTGGGGGTCGTGTAAGGTCAACCGAATGGAATGGTTCGGGTGGCATGAAAGGCATCACAGCCGGCACCGATGCAGATGGTGCCAAAGTCGGCGGCACTCGGGAGCGAGAACGTGGTACTCGACGCTCCTCTTCACGAGGTCCCATGATATCTTTCCGCGGCAGGATGTCGTCCTCAGGATACGGCAAGGTGGACTCGCGGCTACTCCGAGGCGTGGGAAAGGTGGCGGAACTGCGAGGGCCTTGCGGCTGTAAACTTTCTTCAAAGGACTTGCCGGAAATCTGCGGAGATGGGATTGGCGAAGTGGGAGCTCGTGACCTCGATCGGCCGCTCAGGGGCTTCGTACGTTCCTGAGTGGGAGTCGACAAGTACGGCCGGTCATCGTGAATCACTGTCGATCGTCTTCGTCGGGTGTTTGAAGATGGGGCCTTGGCTGCGTAGTCACTGCTGGATGAACTACCGTCGCGTTGTTTTCGTAGTGGCGAATCTCGCCGATACGTCGAATTACGCTGCTCGCGCCTTCGTTCGTATCGGGAAGAGCTGTCTTCTCTGTATTCATCTCGGCGGCGAGATGACTCGCTGGGCCGGTCATCTGGCTCCTTCATAACAGGCCTAGGAGCATCGGCGTTCATGGTCGAACGTCTGGTTGCTCCTGGACTCATCGATTGAGTTGGGCGGCCGGACGTCTCTTCTGATCTCCTCTCCACCAGGTTGGACCGGCTTCGCTGCGGTGCCAGCGGCCTACTCTGACTCTTTGAATAGTCATAGTAGACCTTATCGCGTCCGCCAGTTGAGTGTTTTATAACCTGCGGCGAGAGAAGCTCCTCTTTTGTCGCCGAGACGCGCTTCCTGGTCTGAGGCGTAAAGTATTCAGGAGGGTCAATGGCGTGGTTTGTTGACTTGCTGCGGTGGTGGTTCTTTGCCTGGGGCTCTTTCATTTCAAGTTCTGTTTCGATGCGAGGCAAATCCTGTCTGCTCTTGCGCCTCTCCAGCGGCACTCGTGGTTCTGCGAGCTTCTCATCTCCGGAGGGAGGGGCGTATTTCCAAGCGGTATTTGCCTCGTAGTCACAATTTGTGCTTACAGTTGGTTCACATTTGTCCCCCTTAT